TCCCCGTACTTTACAACACCTTTTTCCACTTTCAAGAAAAAATACCAAGAGTTATGTTTTAATTGGTACAAGCTCATAATATTATGTATTTTCTCTATGACAATATCATATATTCTTCTACTTAGTATTATTTCTAGACTACAAACATTACTATAGCTGGAGTATGTATTATATATATTTCATTAATATTTCATAATACAATTAGAAAATTATTATGTATCTTCTTATCTGGTGTTTGGGTTTATTTCTTACATTTTATATATCATCATGCCTGGTCATCAGTTATTTGATTTACAATTATATTCTAATTATCCACTCACACTACCTCAAGTATATGTATGTTTTATGGGATTTCCTTGGTAGTTCTTCAGGATCCAACATGCTTGCACTTATGTTCTTCCTATATATGTTACAGTCAAACACATTGACACTCATGTTTTCTCTTATGTTTTTTCTTAGTTACATAACAGATGCATACCTGTATAAATAGGGGTCACCACCTATGTCACTTAAGAGAATTAAGAACAAGAACTACTAACAATCTACCTTTATATAAAACTCCTCCTCACTTAGCATGCCTGCAGTACACTCTTTCTACTATGTTACATTTTCATACAAAGTCATTAAGATAGTACCATACTGTACACATTTGAACAAACTTCAATTAATTAATTGCAATATCAAAAAAAGAAAGTTTAAAATACAATAAAAATACTGACAGCGAGCTATTGCCATGATGTATAATACTTGGTATACCAGCCTCAATTTGTTGTTACTATGTAGTATCCCCTGGGCATTGAATCAATTAGGCAGTCAATTAATACCTGGGGGACTGCCCACTATGCTATCTTTACTGCCACAGTGAAAATCACTCAGAGTCTACTCTTTCTATTATCCTTGAGGTCTTTCAAGTGTCTATAGTTCTTTCCAAGGATATTCTTCATAGCCTTTCTGACATACACAATTGGATTTAAATTTGGGCTATGTAGAGGGTGTTTAAATACCTAAATACTATGCCATTCTAACTACTTTTTTATAATCTTTCCAATATGAATTCTCACATTGTTTTATAAAAAAAAACCTCTCAGGAGTATAGTGAAACAATAAACCTTCTTCTAAGACCTCAATATCAGAGTGCACACTATATCTGTTCTTCAAAGAGTTCCTATCTCATCACATAACATATAATTCCAACCATCTCCCCTTCTAGATAGTTCCTCATACTATAAAGGAGAGGAAAAATTTGACCTAGTCATTCTCATTGACAGCTCCTTCTTTCTATTTATCTTTTAGGAGTCAAAAAACCCATCTGTCTGGTAAATTGAAGGAGTTTTGTAACAAAGACTCATTGCTATAGATATTCTAGAGAAAATGTTAGTAAGGGCTCTCAAAGTAGTGACTGATACTTGCTGATACCTCCATCAATTCTTGGTCTTTCTAATGATAATAACTTGTAATCTGTGGTCCTCTTTTCACATCTTTCTCCTGCAGTTGAATCCTTTTACAATGTCTCTATTTATAACATAGGTTGGGTCTAAGTGCATGGCAGATAGTATTAATGCATAGATTGGTACAACTATCCTCAATGTAGTTACAAAAGTATATATTTGGGAAACTCCTGATAAGACAAAGTAAACAGTGGATAATTTACTAATTTAACTTCTTTGAATGACTAGTTCTTGGCCTGGAACTGAAGTCATTGAGTTCATATACTTGTTTAACAGTGTAGTAGACCATATGCCATGTAGACTGAAATTGTGATGCGAGGGCCGATGGACTTGAACCCAAACTTATTGCCTCAAAAATCTATATCCTATCATGGGAATTTAGTTCTTTTCATGACCGCAGAGGAGTTTGCCGATTTCTGCTTATAATAGTACCAAAAGCTTGCACAGGTATTATTTTTTGGTGGTATTGTAAAAAGCAAAGAAAAAAAGTCCTGGAATTGAGAGAGAGTTGTGTAAAAACATATTGCATGTTGGATCTGGTAGGCTAGGGTGGAGTTGGTATACAGACTTATTGATCATAACTGTATGTTATGAAGAGTTATCTGTAAGATAATTTTTCAGAACATGTAACCTATGATAGATTATGGGATGTGGTTAAAAAAGCATAAAACAGTATTGGACAGTATGAGTTTAAGGAACTGATTGAGAGTATACCAATGAGATGCCAAGCAGTTATTAATACAAATCTTCTTTTTAAAAAGTATTAGAAGTGTATTTAGGATACAGAAAATAAATATCCAAGTTGTTTATCTTCATGATATCTGTTACCACCTAATATGTACATACCTCAAATGACTATACCCAATTTATTATCCCTGCCCCCTGCTAGTAAAATATACAAAACTTAGGTGCTGTAGCTCCGTATACACTCACCCGCCATAGGATTCAACTCACTGGCAACACCCACCTCCAACATATGATGATGTAAACCCTCCCCAGGTGCGATCCTCCTGACCACCAATCCATCCGTTCATTGCTGTTAACTCCACTTACCGCCTGATCCAAGAAAAAAAAAAGAAAAAAAAAAACTAGACTATGCATCATACCAAACCAGGCAAGTACAGGACGCCCTGTAACTCAAAACACAGCATCCCGCGATCATGAATGTCTGCAGGTGTGGGATTAAGCTAAGCTGTACTTGAGTATAATGGAGCGATAACACCAGGGGCCTTCGTTCGGACCTCGCGTGCTTGCTGGCGGGGTGGTATATTACGCTACGGTATCATGGATCTAGGCTGGTTTCCCGTATTGTATTGCTTTTAACTTGAATGGGTGGGCACCGGTATGGGCATTTGAGGGCTGGTATGGAATCAATGGTTGCTGGTGGGGAGAACGGTGTGAGGTGGGTTTGAATGCTCGGTTAGTGGGTTTGTGTGGGGTATGGAGGGGTACCATAGGAGATGGGTCTGTCGCTTTGGAGTTTGGCTTCTGCACGGAGGTTAGGGTCCAAGCTTCTTTACTCGGTTCGATTGTTGTGATTACTGTACGAGTAGTGGGGCTCCGGAGCAGCGCCCCAACAGCGCGAGGGGCGTTGTTGTGTAATTCTCTCTACAAGTTATGTATCATAAGGCTGTCTAGAGCTCTGGTTAAGCCCCGCGATGGCCGCACAGGCCGGCGAGAAAGATCTGGGGGTCCAGGATGACCATCTATGGCCCCCCGGTCAGTCCTCGGTAGCCCACTCCGGCAATTCCGTCTCGTACCCCCATTGACCATCCTCACATGCATACCTCTTAGCATGCAGGTAGATGCCCAATTCATGACGTCCCGGGTCCGAAAACAATGGAGTATCGCAAACTCCGCATCGCTCTCCCGTCAGTTTCTCCGCCTTGCGGCCTTCGTAATCCTCGCTTGATCCGTCAACCCATTAGTATAATAAGGGTCAAAAAGGAAGAAGTAGTACATTATCTCCTCGTATCTAATCTCCTCCTCCCTACCGACTCTGTTCAGCCTCTCAATGATCTCCTCGTCCTCGCCTTCGCCACCTTTTCCTAGGGCTGGCCCCCAGACGTTGCGGTTGCAGTATATCTGAATTCTTATCAGTCGCATTCCCTCAAAAATCAGCCCAAAATCGTGGGAGGGGGACAAACCGGATCGTTGGTTATTGGGTGTCCCAAGAACTGCAAGTGCACCCTTATCTGATGCGTCCTACCGGTGAACGGATGGCACTCCACAATGCTATAATTCTTCTCCGAATTGTACTTTATCCTCTTGAACAGCGTCTTTGCAGTCTTCCCGCTTGGACAGACTCTGTTCAAGCCTAACTTTGGAGCCACAGAGAGGATGGGCTGGTTGCAGGTCACCTCCTCAGAGGGGAATTCGCCCTTGACACGGGCGACGTATTGCTTCTTGATGGTGCGGGTTTGTAGCTGTTCCATGAAGTCGTTTGCCGTTTCTGGAGTTTTGGCCATGAACATTAGGCCGCTGGTTAGCCTGTCTAGGCGGTTGCATGCTTTCCCCCTCCTCTCCCGTTAGCGCTATGAGTGGAGGAGAAGGAGAGGGGGGAGGGGGGAGTGTACGAAGCGGAGCATGACCGTCACGGTCATGCTTCATTATCTCAATTACCGTATTAAAATTATACCTCCCAGCGGGATGAACCGGCACCCCCGCGGGTTTATCAATAACGATCAACCGGTCATCCTCGTACACTGTTTCAATTTGTTTCGCCGTCACAGGAGGCTCGTGTCTGTGGAGTGTATGTACAAGCATGTCCCCGTTCTCGAGCTTTAAGTCCAGGCTTGCGATAATGGTCTGCATAGGGGCCGGCTGTGCCCCACCACCATTCCTCCTCCCTTTAATGCCCGGCCTCATACGGCCTTTTTCCTTACGAAGAATTTTTATGGAGCCTCTCTCTATTGCTGATTTCTAAGTTCAAGTTAGCCACTTAGCCCGCCAACCAATGCTCATAGCGACATGGAGGGAGTTGGGGAAAAGCGCAAACATAGTACTCCAGCGGCCGATCTCTAAACTCTGTCGAAAACACCTCCAACACCCCTTTCCCCCTCCACCGCTCCTTGCAGTAGGTATTATATGAAAATTGATACGGCGGTACCCTTCTCAATCCATCCTCGAAAGAGTACTGCGGCACCGGGGGCGGATTCACGAACTTTGACGGTTTGGGCTCCATTGATACTGATACCCTCCCTCCTGCCGACTGTCCTTCCCCCCTCTCCAAAGGTGCCAATGATGAAGCCGAAGAGGGCCCCAGCTCTACTTCCTCCGAAACTAGCACGGTTGGGGATAGATCTGCGGATAATTTAGAAAGCACGCTATCCATGGCATATCTCCTCCGGGACATCCAGACGAATTCTCGAAGTGTTATGAAGAGGTTGATTTTTGGATGCATACAACTTGTACAAGCGAGGGTGATTCTCGCGTTTTTTTTTCCTCTACAAATGCTCTCCTATTATGGGGCAAGAACCCTCCCTCACGTCCCACGTCCTCACTCCCCGCGTTCACCTTTCCTTAATAAAATAGGAATTACCCGGCATCGCTTAAGGCGATGCTCATCCCGGCAACAAATTTTAGGGTGCGTCTGGTTGCCACGGCAAACCTTCATGTTGAGCCCGATCATAGAGGTTTGCAGCAAAACCCTATTTTGCTTTGGAGTGGCATGTCTGGTTGACACCAAGAGACAACATTCGAGCTGTGATGGTGAGTCCAAAACAAAGGTTTCCAAAAAATAGGTAGAACCTATTTTTTTACAAAACTACATAATGAAAAGTCTTCCAAGATGTACATAGGCATTACAACAACACCACCACCACTCCCAACAATGGACAATAGGGAAATAATAAAAACAGATAACCAAGCCCAAATGCCTGTATTTTCCTCCCAATATTTTTTTTTATAATTTATTATGAGTAACTTTTCTCAGGTTTGTTTTCATAGTATCATACCTATGATGATTGCCATGGAAAAAGTACATTTCTTGGCTTCACTCTCTGTGTCAACCAGATACACTGCCTTGCTCTGATTTTTTCAGATTATGCTAACTTGTGATAACTACAGTTGGAGGGTGCAACTTGTGTTTTGCATTTCTAGCATTTTAGAAACCTGCAGGCAACCAGACGCACCCTTAAACCTTGGCTCGATGTGAGACCGAACTTGCCGGTACGGTATGATACGCGGGCCAAAGCAGGACACTGTGTGAGTACGATAGCCTCGGCTTGCAGGGGGAAGGAGATAAATTTCCTGTCCATTCTCTCCTGCCGGTATACTCAACTACCGGTAGTCTTTCCCTTTCCCCCCCCCGCCAAACACCGACAGCTCCCTTGAGCCCCTAAACCAACCAGCCAACCCAAATCGTCCCCGCAAACCAGCCAGACGGAAGGAAGAACCAAAAGGAAGAATGTCATCCGTCAAATCGCGAACAAGAAGCGATTACGGCTACTTCCTCACGTACCGAACGCGATGGAGCGACAACGACATCTACAACCATTTGAACAACGTCGTTTACAACATCCTGTAAGAAACCCCCGACCACCGTGAGGCAAGCAAAACAAGACGAAACACTGATAGAAAGGGGGGCAGCATCGACTCGGTGGTAAATTCGTACCTAATAACCCACTGCGGCATGATGCCTGCCGCCAGTCCCTCCATTGGCCTGATGGTGTCCTCGAGTTGCACATTCGTGTCATCGTGCGCCTTCCCGGCCGTGCTGGAGCTGGGGCTGCGGGTGAACAAGTTGGGCACTTCGAGCGTCACATACGAGGTTGGTATATTCGAGGAAGGGGTTGAGGGGGTCAAGGCTGTGGGTGGGTTTACCCATGTGTTTTGCGATAGTGTTCATCGGAGACCTATGAGGTTGCTTAGAGCTTATAGGGAGGGCTTGGAGAGGTTGCTGGTTAGGACTAATGGGGAAGAGGAGGAGGAGGAGGAGGCTGTGAGGCACAGGAGCGCAAAGCTGTGATCGTGGGTTGGATTTGTAAGAGCTGTGGGAGCTGTTGAGAGCTAGCGGTATGGGGGGGGTGTGCTACTGTGTTGGGAAGGGGGGGAGCGATCATGTTGGGCGTTTCTTGCGCATAATGAGAATTATCCCCGTACTTATATTTACAGTCCATTGAGCGCAGCATTTAGAATATACGCATGGGTTATATATATCCGCAGTTAACAATTACTTAAACGCTACCTACCATGAACCAAAAAAAAACTTCGGTAGAGAGCACCTACACCCGAGAACGTAATCAAGAGAACGATCAAATAAAGGGAAAAAAACCGAAACAAGAAAAACAACAACCATACTACTCTTGAGGCCAAATATCTATATGAAGAGAGAGAAGAAAAAGAAGAAAAAAGAGACTCCATGAAATGACAGCCCTTTATACGTTGTGTGACATGCGCCCCCATCGGAAAATAACAAACGCCGCAGCCAAACAAAGGAGAAAAGAGGAAAAAGAAGAAAAAGAAGAGCGGTGGATTAAAAATCTACAGAGAACCAAAAACCTTTTTCCCTAGCAGTAGTCTGCTCTTTTTTTTTATACTGCGGAAACAGGTTAGCCACTGCACCCGTACTAAATTTGAGGGGATGGGGTATTCACCTCTCCTCAGATTCGTCTGCAATCCCACTTTGCGTTCTTGCGGCTGCGCCTAGGTTGGAGAGATGACGGCCCAACGTATTGTGAAAAATCCCATGACCCTGCATCGTATCAGTAATTGGAGCCGCAAATATGTAGGCCAGGTGGATGTTCTTACTCTTCCGCCCGCCTCCTCAGCCAGTTCTAATGGCGAAGGTGGGAAGCTCATGTTGGATGATGCCGAAGACGGCGACGTCATCGGCCGCATTATAGAGGGCGGCTTCAGGTGATACCCAGTGCTTGGTCTGGGAATCAACATTGAGGCATGAGTCGACGAAGCATATTCTGACGGAGTATCGAGCCCTGGGTGATCACTGTCAGTGGTATCAAAACTTGGGTTGGTACCAAGGGAGCCGTTATTGGCCATCATCCTGAGAAGGTTAGGCTGGGTCTTGCTGGGCCGGTGATGGGTGAGCTTGTTCTGCAAGATCGCGCCGGTGTGGGATATAAGAGCACGGATAATGTCCTTCTTCAACCTTATTGCCAGATCCAGATTCGACCATGTCTTGTTGCGGTACTCCAACATTGGCATGCGAAACACGAACTCGTGAACATCCTCGAAATTGCTGTCACCGCGCCCCTGGGAAGTGGCGCATAAGATTTTGCATTTCAACATAGTGACCCCACGCGACACATACCTTATAACTCAAGCAAAGCACCACACTCGGAATCTTGATATATGCCAAGGTCATAAAGTTAGAAGCTCTGGACATCATTTGCGAGAGTTCATCCGACCTCTTCTCATTTCTATTGCCGTGATTACCGGACCTATTGAAAATCTGTAGCTTTTTGTTTCTTTCGAGTCCAATGATACTCGGTGCGGGGCCCTCTGTGGATTTTCTCGACTTCACCGATAGGGATTCGACCGACGACTTATGAGTTGGTGTGAGGGAAGGCATAAATGATCCTCTGAACCCGGCATTTGAAGCTCTGAAGCTATTAGACCTCGGCTTCGAAATTGAGGAAGAGCCGGGCCTATGATCGGCAGTGAGAGATAAGGTTGGCCTGAGCCTAATTTCTACCGGTGACACATCGCTTTTAGTTGAAGAGCTATCATCCAAATGGTGGTCATCACGATCCTCATCGGATTCATCTGTATCGGACCCACCGGGGATTGGTTTCATTGAGTGCACCAAAAACGGTGAAAACCCTCCATGCTCGAATGCCTGTGTGCCGACACCCGGGAAGATGTATTCGAAAATTCTGTCTCCGATCTCACGCTCAAGTTGGATCTTTAGGGGGAAGAGGTTGACTTCGAAATGGTCCATAACCGGTATTCCAGCGATAGCCTCTAGCATGTGCCAATAGACGCGGAGAATTTTCGTCTGCCGAACATCGGCAATTGTCCGTGAATGATCGAAGAAGGGCGCGATCATCTCCGGGTAGACCGCATCAGGCAATAGGTTATACCCTCGCATCATCTCAACCTCAACAGTATTAAAGTTCGACCCGTCTGCGTTATCCATGCGCTTGTATCCAGCATCCTTCAACCGTATGTCCATGAGGGGATCCGCCTTATCGCGAAGCATGTGCCACACTATTTCCGAGGCGGTCAGGTACCACCTCAAGATACCACTTGCATGCAATGTCCTGTCCTCGTGCTTCCGTTGGGCCGTAGTAATTGCCTTCATCATGAAGAAAAGTTCTTCCTCACAGCTCGCCAAGTCCTCATCAACTGCAACACGCCCTTGCCAGCCCTCGATATCGAGGTTTTGTGAGTTAATCTGGAAGTAGGTCTTAATTTCTTCCAATTGATGGATGCGACTTTGCAGACGCTCAACCATTTCCGGCGCTCCCGTTAAATCGCTAAAATCGGAAGCGAGCATAATCTTCTCCAATTTCTCATTCCGCAGTTTTTCAAGCGGCTCCGCATATAAGAGCAGGTCTAAAACAATGATATACATCGCAAAATACTGCGAGGAATCGCACGATGCCTCAACCTTCGGGAAGTCGACCCACACATGGTCTATGCGACGTTCAACATCTAGTGGTCCGCCTTTAGCAGAGCAGGTTTTCTCCCCACCACTAACTCGATCACTATATTTTAAACGAAGCGAATTGTACTTGTCATATCTCAGGGTAGCTGAAGTCCTCTCAACCACACGGGAGAACCCAACAGGGAAATTCTGGAAGTCGAACATGCTCTCGAGCGGGACCCACGGCGGCCACGAAGAACCACTCGGAGCGCCGTACCTATTGGCGGAATGCAACGACATGGATTGGGGCGCAAAGTCTTGACGATGGGATACAAAAAATTGTGTATTCTCCAGATTGAGCGCGAAACGGCGTTGCACCAGACCGCTAACCTCATCACCCACCCTATCACGATCCATAATTGATACAACTTTTAGCTGCATACCTTGTGCGGCAACAAGAACTGCGGCGCCCTTGTTCTTCTCGCTTTGCATCTGAATCTGAGGGGCAATAAGCCGGATATGGTAGCTGTTCAACGGTAGATAATCATCAGCAACATCCCCGGTGAGGTCGTCTCTAGCATATGTCCTCGTCGATGCGTCATTCTCCTCTGAATCGTTTGGCTTTTCATCGGCAACAACATATTTGTTATCGTCATCAAGAAGTTGCTGGATCCGGCTCTCGAGGGTCATACTATCAATGTCACCATTGGGGGTGGAAGCGGGGCCAGAAGGTGTGTATTCGCCGGTGGCTGATGCGTTGCTCCGACCAGACTGCTTCTGTTCCTGTACTATGTCGAGGATGAACTTGACAGCTCGGCGAGACATATAGTACACGAAACCGCGCCGCTGACCGACCTGATGAATGTACTTCAAGATGATGTTCCGAAGTGAATTATTCCACTTGGCTTGCATGTTATGTACTATAAATCGATTATCAAAGTCGCTCACATAATCGAAAGGTGAAGAATCCACCCCAATAAGCTCAGAATCGGCGTCCGATCCGTGACGTTCATGGCGTGGACTGCTGTTCACACCGGGCTTGTCGTCACCATCGAGTCTACTGGACATTCTCCGCAGCATTGTCTGGAGGAAATCAAGCTTGTTGAAAAGGATCGAGCTTTGTTCGATGAGTTCGGAGGACTATATAAAGCTTAGTACTAGATAAAACCAGTCTCATTGTGTGACATATTACCTGCGCTTCCAGCTCCGGGTCTTTGGGCTTGGCCTTGGTATACTGGGCCAGATTATCTAAAGCCTCCTTGTTCCTGTTCATCTGTTCATTAACCTTCTCAAGCCGAGCCTGAACAAGCCCGCATTGTATTTCTCGGGGATCTATCCTGTTAGATGAACGTCTAGGATAGGGACAGTGATATCTTGGCCTACCATTATTCTCAGACATGAGACAGTCATGGGTTGGCTCATCTCCAAAAGAGCTGCACGGATTCAGCACGCAACCCCCCGGGTCGGTATGATCCGTCTGACGGAAGTACGTGAACCTCGGAGTGAAAGCAAGAGGCATGACCTTAGTCTTGGGTGTTTTGCTATTTGGCAGCACCCAGTCCAGCTCAATGAAGTCATCTATATCGATCCAAGAATAATCACCGTCGGGAATGGTGAATTGAGACATATCACCTGAATATCTGATGGTTTCTGCTAAACCTAGCAGTGGACCTTCTGCTGCCTGCTTCATTAGTTCATCCGGTGTCGCGCAGGCAATGAGTGCCGAGACGGCCCTGATATCCGCAGAGTGGAAGTCTAGCTCTGCTTGGTTGATCCTCATTGCGGTGCTCTGTTGGTTAGGAATTGTTTCCTCACGCCGTTGGTGAATGTCAACCATAAGACTGTCCAGTTTAGCCTTGAGACCAGTTGCAACGACCACATCGTTCCCAGCCTCGTCCTTGTCATTGTGCTTGTACATATGACTTATAAAGAGCGGCGATATGCAAAGTTTATATTTGATAGTCGCAAGGTGCCGGCCAAACTTCTTATTAGATTTCTCGGGGCCAGGCCATAAAGGACCCTGGCGAATGGGCAACGACATGACGCCGGAGAATAGGCCCCACCATGAGAAGAAGTGTGTGAAGAACCTAGGCGTAAGGTGAATTGTATTATAGCTTGTAGACGGTTTTGTGTTCGCCGGGGACCAGTCCCTATCAATTGGTGAGAGGATGGCCAAGGAAAGATGCAGATGGTGGCTCCTGAAACCCCGGAATGCATCATAGACCAATCCCGGTGGAGCCCTCGCATGGGTGGGGGGTTTGAGGGTCACTTCGTAATGAGGTTTAAATTCAAAGGATCGCGTTTTTCCCTCGCAAGCGCCCAACTGATTACCAGAGATCTCCCGCTCGAACATGAGCCCAACCAACCACCTCACTCGCCCCGAAAGCTTCATGATAACCTTCTTGAAGAGTGCTGCACTTTCACAACTACTGGAGCTTAGGACGCTCTTGTCTTCAGCTGTCGTAGCGCTGTCGAACTCATCCTTGGCATTACGGGCAAAGTCCGGAATTGCCAAAAGGAATTCCTCGCTATCAACTACCATGAACTTCCGGGGGTCCTCATCTCTTCCAATTTCCCAATTCACATTCCCTCTCCAACACAGAACGAATCCTGCACCAATGCCAGTGATCTGGTAAGGATCCCGGGAGCCTTGAACCGTAAGCATGATTCCAAAATAAAAGCGATATGATATAGGCTCAGCGGACGGTTACCTTTGAGCGCTAAATGAACGTCCCCATCCCCCTTCCATTTCACGCTGATTTGTGAATGTAAGACAAGGCGTATTTTATCCCAAAACCCAGTTCTGTCCGAGGGGTCAAAGTGAGGTTTTGTGAAGGTTTCGAACACCATCATCATGTCCTGAATTGCTGGTTGATAGGATGTGCACCAAGTGACCCTTGTCGCAAAGGAAGTGCTGATAGCTACCGCAATGTCCGAATACGACTTCACTGGAGAAACTGTTCGCCGTACATCAACAGCAAAGCCACCCCTCGAAGGGCCTAGCCCATTGGTGGGTGGAACGATGTTCACCCTCACATGCCTCATAGACTCCGGGCCCCGTAATTCCTCAGCTAAAACAAAGTCGGCTTTCAATGACCAGGCGGACGATCTGTTCGCTTGAGAGGGCCTCATTCGAGGGACATGAATAAGGGGCAAAGGGTAGTCTCGCAGAAGAATCCGGCCCTCGCCAAAGGCTACCTCAATGCTTACCGGCACAAGCAGTGCGAACTCCGTATCTTCTGGAAGACCTTTGCCAACTCGATGCATGAATTTTGGAAGCTGTTCAAGAGGAAATGAGGGCTTATCAACGACAATCTCAACGTCATTAAAGTAGGCTGCCATAAGTGCAGGGCGCATCGGCAAACCGAGAATATTTTCTGTGTCTTCACCATCATATGGAATGTCGTCGTGGCCCCAGAATCGCTCCCTAGACTCCTTCATTCGATTGCTGTGATATTCGTGCGCCCATCTAATACGCTTAATCCAGGCAGCCGAGTTATGCTCTTGGAGACGCTCCCAGGCTTCCTCTACAGACACTGATGCATCATCAGAAGGGCCAGCAGCGCTTTCTGGGTCATATCGCATATTTTTTGGTCCACGGTGAACTGACTTGGGCCTCGTCTCCGGTGACTCGGCACGAGCATGATGCGAACCACCGCCCCATGTCTTAGTTCTCCCTCTAAACCTTGACGCGGATGTTTGAGGCGGATTCTCGGGTTTCAGTCCGGTCCGCGTGGTCTCTGACGACTTTCTTCTCTCGTTCTCACCCATCTTTTTGACCTTTGCATCAAATGCAGCCTGACGGGCGAGTCGTTTCTTCTGCTCGGAAAGGCCTAGACGATAAATTAACCCCAACTGAGTCTCAAATGGGTCATCTTCGAGTTCAAGAAGCAAAGCTTTGGTGCTCAGAGATAGTCTCGGCACCTTCTTTGCCGATTCTGCCTTTTTTTCCAGAATATATTCGTTTGTCCCAGTTTTGAATCGATGATGCATCTGTTGACAAGCCTTTGCGGTGTTGATCACATTGTCGGTCACCTTGTATAAAACCAATTGGTGGGGGATGGCGAATCGAACAGCATCGGCGAGCATATCAATAGACCTCTCTGCCCGAAACTGCTCACCGTATTTACGTGTTCCTTCCCTCAGATCAACACGGAATTGCCTGATACTGACCATCCGAACCCAGCAATTTCTCACCTTTGGCGATTCGCTGTAAAGCCGGACATTTTTCGCTTTGAGGAATGGGAAACCCCACCTGTGCCGCCCGGTATCCAGTCCAAATACCTCTAGCATCATAGGCGGGTCATCTGGCATGCTTGACTTGATACGCACGTGCTGGACCTTGAAATCTACACTCACGTACTCGCTGAAATCGGTGATTGGGCTTTCCACAAGATCGATGTCGCCCATCATACCCGGATGGAGCGTATCCGCTGGCTTCATCTGAGGATATCCCGTCTCATCCCTGGTTGATGTCCCTCCGAATGCCTCCATGAGCACCTTAGTAGCGACAATGATTGTGTAATGTCGGTAGAGTGAGTAGTTGAGAGAGAACAATTTAGAATGGGAACTGATATGCAACACAGGGCCTTCTACGTCGCCAGAGGTAGCGAATGCAATATCAAAGTGTGGTATATTCAAAAACGGTTCCTGCTCCCAAGGGTCTGGTGAGTCAACCATATAGCCTTCTAGGCCTCTTATATGGAAATTGAGCTTCCTGCAATCCGTCGGATTCTTTGACCCAGCGGGTGGCAGTTCTGAACCTCTGGTATCATCGGCAGAAAGAGTCCTCGAAGCCCGTCGTCTAGGCGGCGGCCTAGACCGTGACTCACTCTTACGAGCTCTGTATTCTATTGTCCAGGAATCCAGTTGCAGCGCTACCCCTCGAGTAAATTCGGATATCTCCTCATCCACTCCTGCAACCTCCACACTGAAATCAATTCCCTCCATCTTGAATTGGTCGATCCACAACGGTATCCGGCGAAGGATATTCGGATCGTCACTCCTCTCAGGTCCATTCAATTTATCTGACTTCACATTGCGATGAAATTGGCCAACAGTCTGCTTGATCCCTTGAACAATCTCTGGCCGAACAAGGCGAAGGGAGAAGGTCTCAAGATATGCGTGAGCAGTTACCTCAACTTCCGGAGAGGCGTTAACCTGGAATTTGATATCGAAGGCATCAGTTTGGAGAAGGTCATGCTTTTCTCCAGAATATGATTGATAGTATAAGTGATGGGACGTAATTCTAAAAGAGCAAGATAGGGAGTAGTCATTTTGGCCTTCTGATTCATGGGAAGAGTCCGCGACCGCAGATATTGATGAAAGACTAGAAATAAGCATATCCATATCACCAGTCGCTCGGCGCTCCGGATCATTAGAGGGCAAGAGAATTCGAATAACCGGCTCGTGAACAGAAAAATTAATACTTGCTTTTGGAAGCAGCTTCGATATAAGGTGAGTTCTCTCTCGAGGACCAGACGTAGGTTTTCTGGGCCTTGACCGAACAAGTGCCAACAAGATAGGGAGATGCCTTGGCTCGAGATCGATCGAGGGAGAAGTGACAACCACGTTGGCGAAAAGGATATTTGCGTTCCGGTTTGACTCTAACTTCTCAACCAGCTGGATCGTCTTGAATGGCAAGGTTGTCTTGGAGGTCATCGTCACCATAGGGATATAAAAGAATTTATCTTTCCGGACACCATCATCAACGCTCATCGAGATTGATATCGCGGCTAATAGAGCCTGGTGAGCAACATCTTGTGGAGAAAAGTACCTAGGCCACAGCATTAGCAATCAAGAGTTCAGAACTAGGCTATAGGGGGGCTATCAAACATTCTGTGTGCTGGTGATTTCTGATCCAAACGATGGACATCCATTGCCAGTTCCTTCATACCTACTAGGACCTTCAGCGGCTTCCCCGACGGCTGTACCGACCTTACGGACTTGGATATCAGAAGATATCCGATCGCAAATTGAACCTCCTTCAAACCGCGTAACAGCGACTCCAAGAATTCCTTTGACTCCATAACCGTCTCTGCCATCCGTTCGGTTTTGCTGCCAGGCAAGGACATTTCCTCCATAACTGCCCCCAATCGGAGCTTGGACCCTGGCCCTCGAGTTTTCTTCATAGCAGGAGTTCTGATGGCCCGCAACTTTACCAAACACCCCAAAATCTCATCAAGTGGTATGGTAATTTTCCCAACCTTGAGGGCCATAGCCGCGTCTCGGAAAACATCCAAACCATTTTCCAGCAAGCCGTAGATATTGAAGTTGCAGTGGTCCAGAATCTCGAGGGGCTCCTTCTTTTTCTCAGGGAAGAACAGAACGCTCCGAGCGGTAAACATCCATTCAATTGGATTTTGGTCCTCCTTCAGGTCGGTGGTATGATCAAACATACGGTTCCTCTCGGCGGTCTTCCGCCGAGTGTCCAGTATCATGGTCATACTCCCCACCTGTACGCTCCCGACATCTGCGATGGACAGGTTGGTATTGGTAGAAACAATATCCACCATCTGTAGCCACTTTACCAACTTGTGTATCTTCCTCAAAGACTCCCTCAGCTTGTTGACCCCTTCCCAAGTTCTGGAATTCCGCCTTATCCCTCGCCCCTCTTCGCCCTTCAATGTATCCTTCTGCCCTATTCCTTTCCCCTTCCTTTCCACTTCATCTGAATCACCCTCCTCCTCCTGTGTCTTCCTAAGATCGATTGAGAATTGCGAGTCCGAGATAGCGATGCTAATCCACGTTGGCTGCGCAAACGTTGGTCTATGCAACAAAAGGCCTAATTTCCGGACCTCCAATTTGATGCCGTTCTTGGGCTCATAGCTAATGCGTTTTAAGGAAAAGTATCCAATGCGTTGAATAGATATTCCAGTAAGAATTCGTAGAACCGCGAAGAGTACGAATGTAGACAGGTATGAAAGCACCACCACACCGAACAAAAACGTAGGCAGATGGTATGCTGTAGCCATGATCCTTGGAACCCCAAAAATTTCTGCCTGAATCAGGAACTATGGAAATAAGCTATATAAAAGGTGAGGAAGGCAGAGGGAGGGAAAGGGAGAATTTCCGGGGACCACTGGTTTGCTTGTCGCTCTCTGGTCGATGCCTTATCAAACTCTCATTATCGATAGTGCTGATGCAATGGGCTCGGCTGTTCAGAAATTGGGATCGTTGAAGGTCAAGATGACGTTTCCGGTGGAGCAGAGGAGGTGAAAAGGTGTGTAAAGCGTTGAATTCGAGAGAGTATAGAGCGGGATAGAGCTAGGTCAACTCCTGTATTCCCGGGAGAAGTGGAGGGAAAACAAAAGCCCTTCCACCACCCCTTTAATCGGATGGAGATGAGCTGTCACGAAGCACCCGCGAACAAGAGTAAACTTGCTGCTCTTTGGGCTCGGTTTATCGCCAAGAATTCTTATTGTGTTTTGCCTTGCTCGATTTGGCTTGGCTCTCGACCCGGGAAATTGGTCGTACTCGAGTACTTCGGCCATAAGTTAGCCAGTTCTTCAGATATTCTTCAAGAGATATCCCCCATCCAGATGTCACGATCGCTAAGAGGCCAGTGGTACCAGTATACATACAAGCGCAAGCCAGCGCCTTTCTGATCCTATTTTTCGCTATTTTCTTTTTTTTTGTTGGGTAAAGTTGCTGCTACATAGTTCTCAACGGTATATACTCGAGTACCGTATTGTGGATATACATTTTGAATTGCCAAACCCTCGGCACCATTGATATGCACCCCTTGAAGCATTCCCTGACACCGGACCGGAAGATCTGAGCGCCCGATACCAATTTCGGAACATCCGTCCGATCTATGGCTAACGGCTAAACAGACTATACGGGATTGATCATGTCCACAAAACCCTGCTCTTTTTTTTTTCATTTTTTTCATTTTTTCATTTTTTTTTTTTCAGAATACCAGTATCTAGAATAGTACAAGTAATGAGTTACTCGAGCAATTTATTTCTCTTCGGTAGGCTCCTTCTTTTGCCTCTCTAGCTTCTCTATTTCTTCATTCGCAATCGCAATATCTGCCTCGACAGCCAAAAGCTTCTCCTTCAGCATATCCGCATATTCTTTCCTTGTCAACCGCTTGACAGGACTCCACTTTGAACGCATAGCACGATCTAGTATACCCTCGTTTGGCTCCGGATTCTTCAGCTTTCCAATCACCTCATGTGTATGCCTCGCGTCGGCAACATTATAGGCATATTGGCCTGTCAACCCTACCAGGCCCCAGACAATGGCGCCCGGGACAGCGTTTGGAATTTTCCCTGCAATCAATAAAAAAAACGGGGGAAAAGTTAGGTCGGATTCATCGTGAGATCGCCGCCGAGACCAGATTCAAGAGATCGGGTCCTCATACGCAATATTATCCCAAGAAAACCACCAGCAATGGCCCCAGAAGCCCCGCTAACAAGAACTTTGTCCCTGGGTATCATGGCCGTGCCGGGCGGAGAGGCATCGCGAATGGCACGACACGTAGTTGATCTAACGGCTGTCCGGTCCATCAGATGCCAACCGACCCAAAACACAGCCAGAAACAGTCACATACCCCAATAGGTCCAACCAAGCGCAAAGGTGTTTGCACCTGTAAGCACGGCGAACGTCTTAGCATGTGGGGTCGATCGGAGAATAGCAATCACCCCTCCAGCGAGTGTGCCAGCGAGTCCTGCGCAGGAGTTAGAAAGAGCAAGTTCGCTGGGAATCTAAATAGCGAGCGGAAACAACGGACCGGTTGCTGCACCCACCTTGAGGGCAGGAACGAGGATTGGTTCGGGAGGCTCGGTCCGGGAGGAACTCTGCATATGTCTGCTGTCCGCTGTCGTTGTTGAGACCCTCTTCCAGCTTAAGGGTGAGGTGATGGCGAGTTTAATTAACGGCAGGGTATGCGATGTGGGGATGCAAGAGAGGGAGGGAGGCAGAAGTTGAATCCCAGAGGACAAGAGATGGAAAATCAGGAATCCGTGCACAAGCCGGTACCGTGTTCCCTGAACAGCGGAATTTGCTGTTGGCGGGAAGATTAGTTGGCAGCGGGACTGAGCAGTATGATACCGATAGTCCTAAGGAAAAGAAAAGGAGGAGAAAAAAGTGTGTGTGTGTGTCTGGGCGTACAGTACATAAGACTCGATACCAGTACTCGAGTGCTCGAGTACTCAAGTACGAGTACCGTACACTACCAGTGCAAGAACCGGTAACAGTGCAATAGGGTAATCCTTGTGCCACTTTCCTGTGTGCTGTGGTGGCCCTCTCCCGCTTCTCTGCTTCTCTCCCCACGCAGGAGGAATGCGGAGGACAGACTGGCCTGATGAACTGCGGTGGTGGTTAATTTAGCTGGCAGGATCGATTCTTATGAAGAATTGTAAGCAATGGGTGCAACGCCTTTTGAAGGCAACCCGTAGACTAATGCAATCCCAACGATAGTCGGTGAGAGCACTAGACCGCTGATAAATTTTCTTTGACCGCTCGCACGATTTGGCTGGCCCCGACGATGTACCAGTTCTCGCACCGTATGATATTTCCATGATGAATTTCTCCCCAGGCATACCGGTACCAAGTCGGTACAGCGGTCCATTGCCACATTTCCAGAGAATTTCGGTGGTCCGGGGGATTCATTGAATCATCAAATCGCCATGACTGCGCCACTGTAAGGGTGTGTACTTCAGGGCACGGTATGGGAATCGTATTGCCAACTTCCGGCCCTTTGTTATAAATGTTATTATCATACGGTATCATACCATGGCCTCCCTACCGTATCCCTAATCCTCTGAATCTCAATACCGTGGGTGACCAGCTTTTTTTTTTTTTTTTTTCCCTTACCACCCGTACCGTAGCCTGGCCTCGCATCCCACTACCGACCGAAGTTACCTATCATAGAATACTCGAGTAGTCTACACCGGCTCTGCTGAACCGTTAAGTTACCCTCCAAAAAAAAAAAAAAAAAAAAAAAAAACCCTAACCCTCCATTTCTCGCGACTGTGACCCTCCCACTTCTTCCCCACACTCTCCCACCCCCTCCCATTTTATTTTATTCTTCCGCGACTCAATCTTCTCGACAAACAATTATCTTTCCCTTGCTAAGTCCTTTTAGCATATCTATCCTCAGCAAGCGCCCTTCCTATCTAAAGCGCATTCGCTGCTCTCGCAATCATGGGTAGGCACTGAAATTTCTCCCTCGGTTTCCGCCTCGATCCGATGCGCACGATGGATATCTTGCCCAGCCTTTTTACAATGGTCATGATTTGGCTAACCACCTTTTGCAGCGCCGCCAAAATCGAAAGGCCAGAAGATGGCCCTAGGAGAGTTCCTTCAAGATGAGAGTACGTCGCCAGACCCACCCTCTCCGCTTTGCAAGACCCTACTTGGCAGCTCTCTTTATATCGGTAAACAACAAGCTAACGTACCCTCCCCCCCCGGGTAGGCTTGGGATCCCCCCCCCGGACAGGCATGGGATCCTGGGCTGATGAGATGGAGGACATGCCCCCTGTTCGTATGTGCAATACTTTATTCCCCTATCCTTTCTCACCCCTTCATTGTTCTCCTCTTATCTCACTGCATCATCATCATCATCATCCTCTGATTCTTTGACTGCCCCATAGCTGGTGAGTTTGACTGTGCCCAGTTATATGCTCACCTCACTGGCTGTGGGCTCTCCTTCCTTTGCTTTCGGTGTGCTAATTTTTTTCTCATCCCCTAGAAAATCGTTCCGGTGCTGGATATGGCAACCGTCGTGACTATGGTGGAGCCAGCCTAGGCAGAAGTTGATCTTCTACCTTCCCCTCCCTAACTGCCATTTTCTAACCCTTAGCCTGTCTAGGTGACCGCGAGGATCGCTACCCGCCTCGCCAGGCTATCCCGCCCCCCGATAAGCCCCCCTTTACTGCTCATGTTGGGAACCTCCCCTTCGAAGTGACCGAAACGCAGATGTCCGAATTCTTTAGCTCCTGCCAGGTTGAGAATGTTAGGCTTGTTCGCGATAGAATAGACAATCGTCCCAAAGGGTTTGGATATGTTGAGTTCGAAACCAAGGAGGGCTTGATTGCGGCTGTCGATATGAGCGGCCAATTGTTCTGTGGCAGGAATGTGAAGGTTAGCGTCGCTGAACCACGTATGTTCCCTAGCTGTGGATTCTTTGACAACATCCGGCTGACACTCCTCTACAGAGAAGGATCGTGTTGATGACCGTACTCAAGGAGACTGGCGTCGGAGTGATCCTCCTCCCCCTACCGACCCCCCACGGCGAGGGAGTGAGCGTAGCGACCGTCTTGGTGATCGTTTTGGGGAAGGCGGGGATCGTGGTGATGACCGTACTCAAGGAGACTGGCGTCGGAGTGCCCCTCCTCCCCCTCGCCGACCCCCCACGGCGGGGGGGTGAGCGTGGCGACCGTCTTGGTGATCGTTTTGGGGAAGGCGGGGATCGTGGCGACCGACGCCACAGCTACAATGATGCATCTGAGAGAGCGCCTCCTCGTGAAGCCCGGGAGCTCGATTGGGGGAGAAAGACAGCTCTCCCTCCTCCTACACTCGCTGCAAGTGAACGCGGCGGTCGCCCTCGCAGCGGGGATCGTGAGTATAGAAGGCGTTCTCCCGCCCCGGCTAGCGAAGGGGGCCGGGGGGGTTACTACCGCGAGCGTCCACAAATCGAGAGACAGCAAACGGCCCCCGAGAGAAATAACTCATGGCGTAGCGCCGCTCGCCCGGACCCCCCGGCCGTCCAAGAGCCGCCTCCTAGGAGCACTCCTGCCAGTCCTGTTGTCCCGCATACCCGCCCTAAGCTAGAACTCAAGCCTCGAAGTGAGCATCCCATTGAGCCCGGACCAACTTCTGCGGCATCTACCGGTGAATCATCAAAGGCAAATCCGTTTGGCGCAGCTAGACCTATCGATACAGCTCAGAGGGAAAGGGAGGTCGAGGAGAGGAGAGCGGCTGCCATTGCTGCTAGGAAGGCTAAGGATGACAAGGCCCGTGAAGAGAAGAGGGCCCGTGAGGCTGAGAAGCAAAGCGAAGCAGGCACTCCAACCGGAAGCAACAAAAACTTTGCACTTCTCAGAAGAGCATCAGCAGGCCCTGAGGGCGAGGGCGAAAGGGAAAAAGAAGTTAGAGTGGAGAAGAGGGATGAAAGACCCTCCAAGGTTATAGCGGGTAACTGGAGGGCAGCTAGGCCGGAGCCAAAGGATAAGGATGCCGCGAAGGGGCCCAAGCTTGACACCACCAAGGCCTCAAATCCTGCTGCAACTGAGGAGGACACCGATGGTTGGACTCCGGTCTCCGGAAAGCGGGGGCGCGGAAGTGCAAATGGTACAAAGTCTCTGACGGGTTCTTAAGTGTTGTGTATCGTGGGTGGTTTTTTTTTTTTTCATCTTTTTTTTCAATCAACAACGGAAATTTAAAAGCGTGTTTCTATGTTTCTTCATCACTTGCTATTGTTCTCTTATGTTATTTTCTGTTCCGTTGTCCCCTTCTCCTTTGCCCCTGCCGCCCTCCCTTTTCTTTTCTTTTTGGAATCACAAAGCTAGAGCGTTGGGTCTTCTTTTCCACCTGTTTTTCCTACTTATTCTTCCTCTCACTCGCTGACGGTGACTGAAAAAAAGAAGCACTTGGAAAAACCAAAAAAGAAAAAAAAGTCACGGTTCCCTTTTCGTGTATTACAGCTTTTTGTTCCTTTTAAAAATTGAGTTTGAAAATATTTATGCAGTATTATTCCTTGCTCCGGTGCAGCGTGTTGAGCCTGTGCTGGGTGTGCGCCTGCCTCCCCATATCGCTAGGTTGTCAACCTGTTGCTTTGCGGTGTTTTATTTTCCCCTTTCTTCTCTTGCTTTGTTTACCCTTTATCCTGCTATAATGGGCTACGAGATATTATGGGGAGTAGAGGAGAGCGGGATGAGGTGATGAGATGAAGTGATGTGGATGGATGGATGGATGGATGGATGGTCGAAATTCGATGATGAGCCGAGATATATTGATGCAATCTGGCCTGGGCACTGGGGCCATTAATTCGATATAGCTTGCGATTAAGTGTAAATAAAATGCACTGGCTGATACGGGTCATAAACCATGATTCGTTGGGGTATTCACGTACGAGTAGATTCGCAGTGATAGCGTTGACCATCATCATGTTGTACATTCGACACTCCTCACACCCTGCATCGGAGTCCACAAAACCCCAGGAGGTTCACCACACGTTGCGTCACATCCGCTGTGAACTGCCGTCCCCCCCTCCCTTCCCCTTTCCCCTCCAAATTCTAACCCACATTCCAACCAGCATCGGATCCACCACCCACCACACCCCCAACTGTGTGCGCGAAAACTAGTAAATAAGGATAGCCAAGGTAGAAATAAAATAAACTTTCGGGAACATGCGTTTGCATGACAACCACCGTTTGTCAAAAGGAAGTTTGATTGATTGATTCGACGGAATTAAATTTAGGCCTACTGTTTCGGTTCCATGTAGCTTGGCCTGTCATGCTTTGTCACTCGGGTGTTACAGGTACCGTGCTACCGTACTTTACCGTATCACCAGTACAGGAGTGCTTGCGTGTGAGGGGCGGGGGAGATGGCTACCGCCCTGAGCAAAAGTACGGTATCAAGTTTCAGGTGTGGCGTGATACGTCGGGCGGATGCTGTACTGTAGCTATCAGTAAAATAATACAGTAGTATGGGATCTCCTGAGTAGGTGTGATGCCGGTCTCTTCCTTTTGGAAGGCGGTATGTGTGAGGGTGGTGGACTACTTTGGGCACATACCGGTATGAGTGGCCGATGCCGGACCGAGAACTTCTTGGGCATGGGGTGTTTTCTATGCTCATTTTGAATACTGTTGCCTTTTTGTGCTTTCTTTCTTTCTTTCTTCCCCCTCCCCCCTTAGTAATTGGATATTGTGTTGATGGTGTGGTATACATCGCACAAGCTAGCATTTGCCCCTAAGTATAGTACGAGGCTATGGAGATGGTAATATAGTACTGCGACAGTGCTGGAACGTATAGCACTATTGGAGTCTGAGATGGTCTGGTACCGAGTGATAGATCAGTACCATCCAAAAGCCACGTTCGAAGACTGGAGTGCTGGTCTGCTGGTTGGCCCGCTTCCTCCCTTCCTAGTCACTGGTAGAAATCCCGATTCCCAAAATCTGGACTTCGGAAATTGTTTCTGAATACTGGTTGGGGTGCTTCCGGACACCCTTAAATCTCCTGGCAGGGTCGTCCGGTAGGATGTAATGGGTCTATCGTTCGTAGGAGGGGGGGGGGGGAGGTGCGGGGAAAAAAAATCAGTAACGTAGAAAATTTAAGCACAAAAGATGAGGATCCAGACTTGGGAAGCAACGGATGTTGAACCTGAGGGAAGGGGGAAAGAAATAAAAATAGCAGCACCTATACTATCAGAAACCTCCCCACTAGAAACAAGGCGGCAATGTGCCCTCCGTCCCACTCCTAACTTGGCCCTACTAGGAGGAGAGTAGAGCCGGCGATACCAGCGGGACAGCACCCTGAACTCTAGTAAGTCAAACGGGACGGCGTAGGCGTAGGAGGAGGGTTGGTGGGAGGAGGTGCTGCGGAGGCGGCGCAGTGAGGCTTGTGCATTCATGGACTTGAGCAGTGCCGGGAGTTCGGGGTTGGTGATATTATAGTAGCTTCATGTCCCTTCATAACAGCACACCAGTATGGCGTTCGGCCTGAGTTGCCGGCCGTGTCGAACTGGCATCTTGCGATCTGAGGAGGAGCTTCAGCACTGTCCCTTGGCCCCCATCGGTAGCCCAACGGTAGCCCACGAGATTGGTGTCCGGGGGCCATTTTCAGCCATGTCAGGGTCAATCCCTTGATGTTCTAGTAGCAGCGTCGCGATTTTATTCCACATTGTTTGGTAGCCCAGAGGGGCGATGTTGTCAGTGTCTGGAGTGTCGGGCTGAAATCTTTCAGCCCAAGCAATAGTTTTACAACTCCCTCGACCCACTTAGTCACAGTCCCCAAAAGTGGTATTTGGCCATTGTCGTCTGATGTGTTGGATTGATATCTCTCTGTTGTAGTAACGGTTTCACCAGTCCCGTATTCCCCTCAGCACAACTTGTGAGCATGTTGTTCGCCGCTTGTGCCCTTGTGTTTTTGGACCTAAGGATTTCAATTCTATCACCAGATTCCACGATTTTCATACACGGCTGCCAAGGGCAAGATTGAATTGTTTCTCGGTATGCCCATGTTGGGGTTGATATCTTGCCCTTCTAGGAGCAGCTTCGGCACTTCATCAGGTCCCCCAATGGCAGCCCACAGGAGTGGTGTCCGACCAATATGTTTCCCCCTTGGGGTTGGCATCCTGCCGCTTTAGTGGTAGCGCTACCACCTCTCACGGCCCCTCCGCGCAGCCAAAGAGAATTGTGTTCGGCCAAATATGTCTAGCTTGTCGGATTTGATATCCTGGCTTCCGGGGAGCAACCTCACCACTCCCTCACCACTCCCTCACCACTCCCTCACGCCTCTCCTAAGCGACCCACAAGAGTGGCGTTATGTCGTTTTCATCCTGTCTGCTCATCTTTTCATTCTGGTATATTAGTAGCTGCACCACTCCTTCACACCCCACTCCACCCGGGCAGCCCACGTAAGGGACCTTCTACCCTATTTGTCTTATCTACCAGGGTTGACGTATTGTTCCAGAAGTAGCTTTACCATTCCTTCACACTGTGTCCACTGGAGTGATGTCCGGTCCCATTAATCTTGTATGTTGGGGTTGGCATATCCCCTTCCCAAGGGTAGATACGTTGGCCGGGATGATTTGTACCACCAGCCGCGTGAACTATTCAGATTGGCGAGTGCCTGGCCATGCAACACCTTCACCATTCCCCCACTTCCCATCTTAGTCTTTGAGAGTGCTGTTCGACCATGACGAACGTCCGGTTGCTCCGGATCGATGTCCTGCTTTTCTAACAGCAGGCTCATCATTTGCTCTCGCCCACACATAGTAGCCTGTGTGAGCAGTGCAATTCCCAAGAAATCAAGTTTATTGTGATCATAGTTATTACTCTCCACAGAGGCGGTTGGGGTTTCAGCAATACCAAAGAGTGAGGCGCAGCGTGGCCTGGTAGAAATGGCTATCGGCAGCGATAAACTTTGATGTTCCCACGAACCGTGCTCAACCTATCCATCCAAAGGGATCTAGTTGATAAGTGGTTTTCAAAATGGCTGAAAAGGTTGAGCCCAAGTGATTTCACGTCACTTGTGTCTTCTGTTCTATTGTGCCCCCCCCCCCCCCCCCGCCACCCGAATATATAGAAGAATATTGGAGAAGGGGAAACGATGGAGGGGCAGCGACGAGTGTGGGCGGGAGGTCCTTGATCTGCTGAAAACTGAGGTATTTCAAAGTGGGTTTCCGTGATCCCCCGAAATAGCTCGCAGTGAGTGTAACTACCAGTATATTCTTGATGACTGAACTGGATCAAGCGGACGGTCGAAGGCTCTTCATCAACAGGGACGGGAGTGACGAGTCCCCGGCAGTAGCTCGGCATTCTCCGCATAGAAGGAGCGCTATCAGTATTGGTATCTGGTGAGCCCACCCTGTATCTTAGCGACTGTCACAGCTTGAAGTAGAGAATCGCCAAATGGGAGACCCACATTAAAGCTGCTATTCTGAGTCTTCTTCTCTCAGGGCCTTCTGTATCTTCGACATAGCTGTACCATACACACCTCCCAGATCCAGGCCCTTAGCTATCAATCCAAACTTTTACCGTCTCCGAGAGACAGCGATTCCGTCCATAGCTTCGAGTTTTAGAAGCCAGCATGAGTCTAGAAGTTTCATCCATCAGTGGGTAACTCAGGGTAAGCTGCTCAGTCGTGTTCCCCCTACACAAGTTTTTGACATATTCTTACGAGTGATATCCATTATTTCAGTCTTAGGGCCACCCATTGCGTTGGGTTGTACTTAATCTCATGTGGGTGCACCTCACGGCACCATATTTGCTTGGTTTTATGCATAACATAACTACTCGCCTAGAAGGATACTTCTAAATCTCATTCCTAATTTGTCGTCTTCCGGTCGCAAACAACCGGGTGCTTAGGTTGTCTCGAAAATATGGCTAAGTGAAGCAAGAACATTAGGTATAAGCTTTTCTGTGCATCCTTCTACGGCGTCAACGCGTATAAAGATGCGTCGTGAGGATGCGGCCATCTGCTACATCTTTGGCGGTTTCAGGAACATGCAACTCCCGCCCACCAATAACTTCTTCCAGTCTTTAGGGGCGGATGATATCTCTCCGGGATGTTTTTCAACAGCCCACAGATTGTTTAAGCAGTGGCCGAGCATGTCCGTCGGAGACTGATAATTCTGGGCCGTGGAGTCAAAGTAAAAACAGCCAACTGCAGCGCCTTGCTCTCTGGCCTAATTGCATAACCTTTCTATTACTAGTGAACTGGCACCGTAGTCTCTTACCGACAGAGTCCTTTCGCTTTCCTTTTGGGTTGTCTCTCTCACCTAAGGTACCGTAGGTCTTGCCTACTCCCGGATCGCGATAGCAAAATAAAATCGTGTCATCAGGCCACCCGGGTATGCGCCATCGGGTCATCTTAGACACTTGTTGATTTGTAGGAGCCGATCCCCCACGTTTTCGGCTCGGCCGGTCCTAATGTCTTGATGCCGTATGCGTGGCTCAAGTGCGGATGGCTAGGTTAGGATTCCGGCACGTTAAAAAACTGAAAGTGATACTATTGCTAAAGTCACTAGAATTCCTGAGATCTTCGCTGCTCCAAGTGTGAGAATGCTTAGGGGAGAGTCTGCTTATGAAATATGTGGGAGCTGGGTAAAATTTGGGCGTTGAATGGCACTGGGCACTCTTGGGGGTGGCCAAATCAGCCTGCTTGAGACTTGCTCAACCAATAGCTGAAGAATCCGGACCGTATCAGCAGGCAAGATATACAAATACCATACCGAACAGCCCCATGCCGAATCACACATATTTGGGCAGGATGCTAACCTAGGGTTAATCTGCGGCAAGAAGGCCATGGTAACTCCCGGTGGTTGGCGGGTTGTTGAGTGTGATTGGGTGTAAGGGCGCCAATAGACCCGTGTTCTAATACGGTACCGTACTCGTAGAGGGGTCTAGCTCCGGGGTTCTAAGTTTCAAACCGGCCTGTCAGTGTGCAATGAAGGCGCTGCACGCACCAAAGCCTTCGGACCTGGGCCGGCTTTTTGCGCGAGATGCAACAAATGCCGCGGGGTCAACCCGGGATAGGAAATTGTGTAACTGCAGTGCCTTCGAATCTTGGGGCTGATTGCACCCACAAGTGCCGTAAGAACTCAAATAATTGGCACTACGTCCAAAACTCCCCCTCTCGGATAGGGGGGCCAAAACACTACTTGTACTAGTACGAAAACTGACCCCCTGAGCCCCAGCTTGAGACAGAAATATGCCGGACCATGCTATCATACCGGTGGTGGGGGTAGGTCCGGAGTCCTGGCGCGGGTGCCGATTATTCGAGTTCTTAGGGTAGTGGTGGGATTCAGTTATGGAATCCTTGATTCTCGTTGATGACTGCCTATCACCAAATTGGGAGCCTTTAGCACAAGCACTTACTACTCGTACTTGAATTCCGCCACCCAAGACCAACCTGAACAAATATTCCCCGTTGAACCAGCAAGTACCGGATAATGGGATCGATGGCAGAATGTGTACAACTCCCTGGCGCTTTTTGTGAAAGACTTCTCCTATGCAATTATCAGCATTGGCGGTATAACTGACCTTGCCACAACTACCTACGCGATTAGGATGGATTTTGGTGTCTCTGGGTGTGATATCCAGTTGGCTTAGCCTGGGGCCAGCGCTTTGGGATGTTCAAATGCGGCGGTAATGCCCCAACTCAATGATAAGATGCCGGGTGTAATAAGATGGGGAGTGCCGCTTCCTCCCTCTTTGGGGAACCTAGGAACATGGTGGGGCACTGGGTCTCGTGGTCGGGTAATAGCATTTCTCGGCCGGGTAACAGCTTACTCACAGGAAAGCTCTGGGAAACGCTTAACCTAAATAGGCAAAAGGTCAATATTGACAAGCTCGGAGAGGCTGCTTCCTCCTTGCCTCGAACTTTTTGTTTTTTGTGCCCCTACAAACTTCTACATTCTCGCCCCATCGTGCCGCAGTATCAACCCCATTCCTACCCTTCCCACTTCCCGAGCTATCTCGCCTGCCTGTGTACACAATCGGGCTTTTACTTATTTTCAGAACAGCACACATTGCCTCCCCTTCCCCCTGCCGGCACCCACAACAATGCCTCCTGAATCTCGCTCTCTCCACAACCTCACCTTTGAACACCACCATACTCTCCGAACCTCTGCTTCTAGCGCTTCCTTACGTTCGAGAGATGGTAGTCTGTCCCCTCAGAAAATGCCTGTAGAATCAAATAGTTCGAGCGGCGGCAATGTCCGTGTCGTTGTTCGAGTTCGAGGATTTCTGCCGAGAGGTTTGTTTGCGCAACCTTTTTACTCTGATAATTCTTTTGCGCTGATGAAATATACCCTTTTAGAAATCGAGCGCGGGGCTGTCAATCTAATCGAGATGAATCCGCGAAACCAATCTACTACGCTTTACCCGCCCCCGCTGGACTCAACGAGGGGGAATGCAAGGAAAGTTATGGACAAGAAAGTTTTCACCTTTGACAATTCCTTCTGGAGTTTTAGCCGCGACGACGACCATTATGCGGACCAAGACGATGTCTACAATGCACTTGGAGAGGAATTTCTAGATCACAATTTCGAGGGATACCACACTTGTATTGTCGCATACGTACGAACCCCCCAACTCGATTGATTGTAAAAACAGCGTTAACGCATATCGCAGGGCCAAACCGGAGCTGGAAAGAGTTACTCGATGGTTTGTTCCTTTTTTCAACGACACTGGGAATACGGGAGCTGACGAGTGATGGTTTGTGAAGATGGGCACCCCTGAACACCCCGGCCTCATTCCTCGTACTTGTCGAGACCTGTTTGAGCGTATAGAATCCAACAACTCGCCGAGTGTCAACTACTCCGTCCGTGTTTCATACTTTGAGGTTTATAATGAACATGTTCGCGACCTTTTGGTTCCTCGTCGAGATCCGCCGTACTACCTTAAAGTCCGTGAATCGCCTACAGAAGGTCCTTACATCAAGGACTTGACAGAGGTCCCAGTTAGAGGTATTGCTGAAGTTCTGAAGTGGATGAAGATGGGAGATAATAGCAGAACGGTTGCCAGTACCAAGATGAATGACACTAGTAGTAGGAGTCATGCGGTCTTTACACTTGTGCTAAAGCAGATTCATCACGATATAGATACCGACGAGACTACCGAGAGGGTTGCCAGAATTAGGTAGGTTATAGTTGGAGAACGGGGATCAATATATAGCTGATGGAGATTAGGCTTGTGGATTTAGCAGGTTCTGAGAGAGCGAACTCTACAGGTGCGACAGGTGCTCGGCTGAGAGAAGGCTCCAATATCAATAAATCTCTTACCACTCTCGGGAGAGTCATCGCGGCGCTAGCGGATGAGCCTCCTCAGAAACGTGGAGGAAGGAAGAAGGAAGTTGTACCATACCGCGATTCTGTAAGCTCCCCTCAACTTACCGTTCCTCACCATTCCGCCAAGCTAATCCTACCCTCGCAGATCCTCACCTGGCTTCTGAAAGACTCCTTGGGTGGCAATTCCAAAACTGCTATGATAGCATGCATCTCCCCAAGCGACTATGATGAAACCCTCTCGACCCTGCGCTACGCCGACCAAGCCAAGCGTATTCGTACCCGCGCTGTGGTGAACCAGGACCACCTCTCCTCCGCCGAACGGGACGCTCAAATCGCCGAGATGCAGGAAACCATCCGCGCGCTCCAGATCTCCGTCTCCCAGGTAGCCATGACGAAAAAGCAAAACGACATGCAGAGTGAGCAACTGGAAATCTACCAGACCGAGGTGGAGAAGATGCAGCGCAAGATGGAAGAGGCAAGGACGGTCGCTGAGTGCAAGATCAAGGCGCTACAGACACAGAATGAGGCGCTGAGACTGCATTTGAGGCTCGCTGTTGAGAGCCTGAAGAATCCTATCCCCACCGTCGTTCCACCCAGCAGGCGAACCAGTATTGGTGAGGATTGGGAAGAGTATAATAGTGATGCCCCGGACGAGGTGGGCGATGACGATGACGATGATGGTGATGAGAGAGGCGAGATGGAGGCTAGGCTTGAGGATCTGCTCAAAGATTTGGGAATGTTCCGTAGGAAGGTTTCTGATGATAAGAGTCGCTTCCTGGCGGATGGGTATCTGAAGGAGATTCGCGTTAACTAAGATCATGGAAACTACGATGGTTATGCATGACGGATGGACGGATGGATACCAATAGCAGGCGTTTGTTTGTTTTCTTCTTCCAAAGTATAGCATTAAAAAACCAAGGGGTAGTTTCGGATGTCTCTTTCGTCTGGTTATACATGTATAGTGTTATCATTCCCACAATCATACCAATTACCTTTCTCCAAAGCGAGTTACAAATTCCCCCACAAATCAATCCATTCCACACAGTTCTACCAAGGCGTCCCCACCACCTCTTCTATAAGATACAAACAGGTAAGACAAGTCGCTATCTAGCCCAATCAAAGGTCAATCCTCTTGGCTTTCCCCACAAGACTCCGACTAGTATTCAAGACAAACACGTCAGGCCCAGTCTCCCCATCCTCAACGAGCCCCTCAATGGTCGTTGCAACGGTGCGGTTCGAGGTAATCGTGGTGAAGCCCTTCTTCCAACTGGTCACGAACACGGCTCTATTCACCGCACTCAGCTTGGCCACGATCCTCTGCTGTACCTGACTCTCGGGAGCCCAGTCATCCCCGATGACCCCAACCGGTAACCTCAACTCCCACTTCCCTCCACCACCACCACCGCTGCCCCCCGCATTATTACTATTTTTATTATTACCATCGCCGAGCCCATATGTGCTCAGACCTTCCCATTCGCCCTCCTCCGCCTGCCCTTCCAGGACCATTCTCGCGCGCTCCTTCTCACTGGCATTACCGACAATGTCCACGATCTCTACGAAGCGCTTTTTCGCCGTGGCAGTGGTGAGGAGTGTGCGAGCGTGTAGGAGCGGATAGATCTCCTCGCCCATGTGGCGGCCGGAGGACTCGAGTGCTAATTGGCGGATTATGGCTGGGTGGAAGCGCTCCTGTATGGGCACCGGGCCGTGGGTTATGTCTGAGACCAGGGCCAGCAGGATGGTCACGTCGAGGTTTATGGTTGTGGAGGTTGTGATTAGGGGCTTTACCATTTCCCGGAGTGCATCCGCGTCTGTTGCTATTGTGGGTGGTGGTGTTGATTGTGGAGTAGTAACAGTAGCAGCGGTGCTCTCAGTGGATGCTTCTATTGTGGCTGCTACTGCTGGGTCTTCTTCCCCGCCCAGGATGGCTCCAGAGCCAAGCTGCACTCTGGCCCCTTCCGCCATAATTGCCTTGACAAACCCCTCCACTGCGACCCTCTCCTCACCCTGCTCCCCCTTGCCTTCACCATCCAGTAGTAGATTTGGCACCCAGACAAGCACGCTGGGGTGTAGATACTGCACCCTGAAGCACCTACTCGCCCTCACCAACCCCCTGACACACTTGACGAGCCCAACCTCCCCCTCCGCGTCCTCCCACCCACCCTTCGCCAGTGAATACACAACTCTCTCCGCCGTGATGGTGGAAACCTTAATCCAGACAAGCCCATTCTCGGCGACCACATCCACGCTAACACTCCCCTTCTTGCCCTTCCTATCCTTGGAACCCCCGTTCCTCCGACCACCTTCCTTGTCGACGAACCCAAAACTCTGAAAAATCCCACGAACACCCACCTGCGCGCGCGCGCATTTCCACACGGCTTCCAGGTAACCCAGGTTCGAGCTGCGCAGTGAATGCGTGGATTCCGGGTTGGGTGGGGTAGAGGCGAGAGCCTCGAGTGCGCGCGTTTCGCTACGTAGCGAGGTCGCGAAGGGCCGGATTTCAACCTCTTTTGTTAGTGAGTGGCGGCGCAGGTGAGTTTGTAGCGACTCTAGGGAGTCTAGGAGTCTGTGGGCGCGGGTTACGAGGGCTGCAGCGAGGGGGTTTGGGGAGTCGGCGTCTGAGTCGGAGTCGGAGTCAATCATGTCCTCGGAGTAAGAGTGGGGTGTTGTGGTTGCTTATTGGAGTGCCAGTGGTGATGGTGGGAGAGGCGAGGGTGAGGATCGAGGGGTGAGGAGCGCGGGTAGGAGGGGTAGCGGGGATGAAGATTTGCGGTGTGAGGCTCAATCCATTGCGGAATTCCCGCCTTGGCATGGGAGTAGTTTTTTTGGCAGGCGCTGATATACGATACTCGAGCACTTTACCGTACTGTACTCAAATGGCCGGATTGAAATCAGAAGCCCCCACCGCATAACTCGCTTAGGCACCTTCTGATCTCAACCCGGCCACTTGAGTACCGGTAGACTACTGGTACAGGCTGAGAGAGTCCGGTAATGCAGGAGGAATTCACAAACTTGCGATAAACATTGCCTTGAGATTACAACTAATATCGCATCTCACACCATTCAACGCTTGAGACCCACAAAACCATGATACATTTGAGTAATTGAAACCAAGTAAAAACACGTAAACCTAAGAAAGAAAAGACCCGAAAACAGGGACTTCACACACACCCATTACCACCCTAACCTTAGGGGAGATCTATTCCTTTTTCTTCCCCGTCAGCCCCCTTTTTGACTCCTCGTCATCATCACTATCATCTTCATCTCCACTCCACCGGTCATCTTCTCCCACAGAGAACATTGTCTCGCCTTCCACTGAATCTCTCCTATCCAACGACCGCTTCGTTGCCGGGGATGACTGCACAGGCTGTAATGGTCTAGAAGCCTCGGCGTTACGAGTGCCAATGCCCATCTCTTCATCACGGCCATCTTCAGAGTCAACCATACTTGCGATCTCAAATCCATCGTCATCCTGGGCCAATTCGTCACTCATGGCGAACCGACGATTGTTAGCAGTTGGGCGCCAAAGATAGGCAATAACAGACAAGTCTACAAGGTAGACCAGGTTGAGCCATCCATCAAGAACGAACCATCTTGTCTTCCAGTGTGTAGGAACGAAGTCCGGTGAGCCATGACGGGTGAAAGTGAAAGAGTTGAGGAAGAAAAACCCAAAGATGACCATGATGGACCCAATAAGCACCCACCAGAGGCGCTTATACATGAGCAACTTGACATTCTGCTTGCGATCGAACAAATCCTTCATGGTAAACTTGAGTGAATTGAGAGTCCAGATGTAGAATGCTGTAAGAGTTGCAGCAAGTGGCAGGATAACGAGCATGATGAGAGGGCCGACATTATCGGGTGTAATGGCCAACGAGCCAATAGCGTAAACCATGCCAAAGAGGAAATGAGCGAGAGCTAGGATGCGCACCCACTTCATCATGGCGCCCAAACTCGGCCTTTACATCAAGTTAGCGCTGATTCGCTATTAGCCATAATTGAGCCTTACCTCACAACACCATATCCCATGCACACAATCAGCAGCAAGAAGAACGAGAATGAGTTCCTGATGGCGTTTAGAATTGCGACAACGATCATCAAGATCTTAGCGCCAGTATTAGACCCGTGAGCATTCTTGTAGTCGTAGAACGCCCAGGTAATCAGCATTTCCAGCATCAGGAAGATCAAGATGGCCGTAATGTAGTTTTGCACCGGCACTGTTCCCCATTAGTGCACTTCCACTTTCGGCCATTCGAAAAACCAAACTCACAAATATCTCTCCGATGCTGCACGTATAAGAACGCCCATAGGGCACTAATAAGCGCATACACAATAGTAAGACCCCCGTAGAACGGCAGCTTCGCAATCTGTGACGCCGACAGCTCTCCATAAGAGCTCTGGAAGGTGACCACAGCATCGTACTTGAGATCACCGGGAGGGAAAGCATTTGACCAAACACAGTAATATCCCGTCCTCTTGATCGGATACAAAATTGGCTTGACTTCCTTCAGGTCGAGTTTTATATTGAATATACTTCCAGTGGAACTCCTGTTTGTTTCCGGTTCTAGTATGAATTTACCGACATCGGTCGAATTGCAGAGCTCTGCGCGGACAGCATTGTCGGTACAGATGTATTGTTTCTATAATCCCACCAATCACCGTTAGCCCTCGTCTCCACAGCCGGAGCGTCGCGCAGGGAAAACACACCTCGAAAGAGTCCTCGCTCGGGTACCGCCCAAGATATTCTTCATCGTTCCACTCGAAGATGATGAGACTGATAGAATGGTCCTCCTCGTGCGGCGTGAACTTGATCGTGATAGCAGGATCGACCTTTCCGCCCCATGCCTTCTTATTATACATTCCCGAACATTGCTGCTCTTCGCCCCCGCTTTTCTATCCCATCAAATCAGATCCATTAGTACTCCTCATCCGTCTCCTAGCCGATCTAACCATCATCCCGGGACATATGATGAAGCTCAGACGTACCAAGGGGACCTCGTCTGCAACCGCGAGACTACCCGCGAAGGCAGCGAGCAAGCCAGCTTGCAGCCAGCGATGCATTTGGAAAGAGTAAGGCGGAGGGGAAAAAATCAGGGGGAGGGTGTTGTTTGATGTTTTCTCAATTTACTTCATCGAAGTGAAGAGGGATTAGAACTGGAGCTCCGAATAGAAATTACGATGTTTGGCCGAGAAAGCGTTAAGAACAACAAGGACTTTGTCATGCGGCTCAGCCCCAAGCCGCGTCATCGATCGTCACTCCGTCCTAGACACCAGACACCTAGCGTCATCCGGGGGGGACCTCGGCCATTCCTGTACTGTACACTGAACAATACGGACGCTTCTTATGACCAGACTTAAAGCCCCCAAATCTGTCGCCATGGGTCTCACACACGGTCACCCATAATCACTCGGTTTTGGACCCAAAAGTAGCCTGAGGTTATGACCGTTGCTGTGGGCATGCGGTATGGATTATTCGGGTAGATCTCGTAGGATACATGAGCGCCAGCCGCCCACAGAAGACAAAAGGGCTTTTAGAAACGCCGCAATAACTCCCCCCCTTCCACCAAAGAAATTGGGAAACAAGTAGGGATAAGAGAAACTCTTAACCGTGGGCAGAGCTAGATGAATGCAGCTTAATCGGCAGGTATTAGACCTAGTCGGAGCCAACCCCTAAGTTAATGCCGGCACTAAAGAGTAGCACTGCAAACACGGCGTACTGCATAAGCACGGCCATTCTACCGCCAAATACCCCCAGTCGGCACTGGGGCCTTTCCACCGCCCCATTTAACGGCGCCCAACAACCCTCTCTCAACTCGTCCATACTAGATTCTCCATATCAGTCATTCTAGCACTTAATACTAGCCTCCGGGCAAAAAGGGGCATACAAAGGTCCGTTCAGAATCTATCACTCCAGTGTTGACCCAAACTGCCCAAGACCCCATCATATTCGCCATGAGCACATCTGTGAAGAGTCGATCCCCTACAACGGCGACCTGATCCGCCCTCTTGACATCGGTCTTGCCCGCCAGATGCCCCATAATGTCAGGGTAACATCCCGGTTTCTAGTCACCCCGTCAACTCATCTCCCCTCTGACAAACCGCACCCAGAAAGCCAAATTAACCAATACCTTAGTAGAATGACGCAGTACCTTCACCCCTGTATTCTTCTCCAACACCTCAGCCTAGCCAATTCTGCGTCAGTTCAAAAACCGTTTCCCATTCGAAAATTGTGGAGGCACATAAAACCTCGACATAGTTGACATCATCATCTGTTCCTGCAGAATTGCTAACGATCAATAACCGATCTCCATATTCCTTTCTTAGCTTCTCAAACGTCTCTTTATACGCCGGGTAAACCTCCTTGGCCGATGGCTCAGCGAAGCAGTTATCTTTGTCCAGGATCACCGCGCGGATATCTGCTTTCAGTGCCGGGGCAAGAGGGACAGGTAGGTAACCGAAGGTGGGAATTGTGAGTTGTGGGTAAAGGAGCGTCGGGGATTTTAGTATTCTCAAAGCGTTAAGGGTCGCGGAGAGGTTGAAGGGAGCCATGGTAGGGATTGGCGAGTGAGGGTGTGTGATGTGTAATGGTTTGAGAATGCGGGCTGGGAGATAGAGAGCACGCTATATATGGGTGTGGCTGGTATTTTGAATGGTATTTGTGGCGTTGTGCAAGGACTCTGATGGTGAGGGCCTTTGGCGCAGCTGGAGGGACTGATGCGGGTGTGAGAAGTTCATCGCTCGAGATCTAATGGTGCACGTGCTAAAACAGTCAGACGGTGGTATGGTATCATGTTAGTTTTTGTAGTTGCCAGGTCTCAGAGCGCTGCCATTTTGCTTCATCTAAAACCAAATCTTGCCTCGCATCCTCACAGCAAACTTTCACTCCCTTTGATACGTGGTGGGGCGCTACCTGTGAAAGCTTCCTATTTTTAAGCGGACCATTATGCTTTCTCTTTCATTATTATCGTATACCGGTTCTGAGATGGTGTTTTTTTGTTTTGTTTCAGCGACTTCATTCACGATTGCGCTTCTCACGGTCTACGAGTACTGTACCTGAAATAGGGATTAAAGGGATCCCTAGAAAAGAATCCGTGCGTATCTGAGGTCCAATATCGGTGCAACATATGCCCCCTTTGTTTTCTGGCACTAATGACTTGGGACAAGCAACATATGAAAGCGAAAAAGAACAAAAAGTTGGACGTACTGGGAATCGAACCCAGGACCATCTCAATATTCATGACTTCCGAAGTGTCATTGCAAATGAGATATTATACCCCTAAACCATGCGCCCATAAAAATCTTAATAAAAAAAGGAAGGTATTGGGTAACAATGGCATATCCACTGACACTGGTTGGGTCAGAAAATTCTAGAATCACCAAAGTTTAAAACCCACCATACCGCTTGTAGTGGAGCCGTATACCGGTACCAAAATATGATCTTGCGACTAATGAAGAATGGGTTGCGGTAGGCCACAATTTGACAACACTAGAAATCGTCATGATGTGAAAAAGGTCTAAATGTGGTGAGAGCCTCAGCGGTTTAAAGGATAGTAGATTGCTTTGTCATATGCGAAGCGTTTTGAAAGGGGCAAAGGTGCCAGTCTCTGTGGTTTCCCTTGGACGGAGGAGACACACAGATTCCGCACCTTCTTAATAGAGTTGCCGTATACGCAAGGTGCAAGAACAGGGCCAGTTAGAGCCCCGGAGCACATCCTCCACACTCCCTATTCACCTCCCGATTGAAAACACTTCCTATTTGGGACGGTGAAAACTCTGCATTTTCCCCGCTGTGAATGTTACACAAAGCCTTCTCCCAACCTTGCTTAGGCTTCAAACCCTTTGCAACATAAGCTACTCCCCCCATGCTACCAGGATTTTCTCAGCACCAACACATTTCGCATTAAGTGATGTCTGCTCCTAGCCCTGCACTGAGGGCCCCCTCTGTGGGGCCCCAGTACACCTCTTCCAGCTGTGCTAGTAATAGGGCCAACCCTACTGGCTGGGCCTCTACCCCCCCCCTCACAAGAAGATGCTGTCAAGCTCTCCTTGCCCAGGCTGCTCATGGCTTGGGCTGGAACCCTGCAGTGTTCCCATCCATTTTCTCCCCTATCTTTAAGGAGTGTGACAACGCCGACAAGGCAGTTGTTCTCCTTTTGTTGGCCCTTGTTACTATGGTAGAACACCTTACTGAGTCTGTCTCTTCCCTCTCTGCTAAGCTTGACAGCCTTCAGGCCCCTCAGCCTGCCCCAGCTTCGGACGCCATACTTTCAGCTTCCCTTCGAGACCTCTCATCTAAAGTCAACTCTCTGGCCTCTCACCCCCAACGGGCCTTGGTCCCTGCTCCCCACACTGTGGCTCCCAAGCCTACCCCACCAGCACCGAAAAGACTAGTCCAGTCCCTCTCCTCCTGCATGGTCCCCTCGGTTAACTTCCCGATTTGGGTAGATGGCAAGTGGTACAGCAATCCCAAGAAATACGCGAAAGCGTAAGAAAACACTCATGAGGCAATAGTCTATTATACCTCCTTCCCAAATACATCTGAATCAGCTATGACAAAAGATCCGTTCCCCCTCCCTGTCAACAAGCACTTCCTCCTGGGTCCTCTGCCTAGGTACATGGTCTCCTCTCCCTCCCCTCCCTCCAATAACTGGGCCCAGGTGGCCAAGTCAGGAAGGAAGGCACTGAAGCAGACTACGGCAGCCCAAGTCGTAGAGGCTAGCAAGGAGGTTAGCCCACGGGTTCCTCTACCACTACTGGCTGCCTATCGCTACTTTTATACCCCCCGCCTGATCCTTGCCCTGTATGACGACCTAGTCTATATGGCTGCTGCTCTCCCTGATGCCATGGCCTCGGTCCTCTGAGAGGCTAAATGCGCCCATCCTCTTTCACTAGCGGCGACGGTGAACCAAAATGGTATGGTCACAATTACGGCTTATCCACACACTCCTACCTCTTCCTCTGCTCCCCACTTTTCGGCCCTCATGACAAAGCTAGACCAATTCTTCCCCATTAGGGGTGGTCACCACCTGGAGTTTGGGACCACCCTGGTCCATACTAACGTCCTTATCCACAACCTTCCTGTTTCAATACTATCAGAAGACCCTGCGGATCTATTTGACTGCCTTCAGGAGTCTATCGGGTATGCCATTGGGGCTACTATTTTCAAAGCCTGCTTCCTCTAACCGGACTCCACTGTCCGTGCAACAAAGATAACTACCTCTGTGGTAGTAGTAGTCTCGCCTTTGGAAATTGCTGTTACAAACTGTGACTAAGTAAGGCAGATTTCACATCGCTCGGACTTCCGAGTTATAGGTATGTTGGAATTTCACATGACACACATTAGTGCGCCATAGGTTATTATGTTTACCTGTTCATGACTCACAGTTGTGAGTCATACGATATTATGATTTTCACACATGACTCATACTTATGAGTCATGGGTTTCACTCAGGTGAGGCAAGTTACGCACCTGACTTGGTTATTAGGTTTCGATTGGTTTTAGGCATATTGCGCAGCAACTCATAGGAGTCATCTGATGGATTTCACATGACTCATGATTATGAGTCACAGGGTTCACGTGACGAGAGGTATGAGTCACGCCAGGTGAAGAGCTACTATATAAAGGGGTCACTAGGACCCTGAGTATGAGCTCTTCATATGTTCTTCTTGTTTATTTCCTACCTTCAAGTTATTATCAATAAAACCTACCTTTACACTCTTTAAGATTTATCTTAAGAAACCCAAGAATTGTCTTTCCTCCCACGAGGAGAGATTAAGTTCTGATCAAGGACTAGAGAGAAGAATAAGGGGATAGGCGCGAACAGGGTAGTAGTTGTAGGACTGGACTATCAGGGTCGCGTAGGCACAGGCCTGAGAACTATCACCTTACACCTAGAGAAGTACCGTTACCTGTCGCTCAGTCCTACTCGGTAAGATTCTTAACATTAGAACATGTCTACAACACGATACTTAACGATTACACCACAGATCCTTTCAACAGAGATCAAGAGGGAGACATAGATGTCCAAGACAACAGTCTAGGATTAGGAGGATTGGAAGAGGCACTTAGGGAAGCAAGCCGACACTCAGCAAGATCAACAGGTCCCGTCACCCCAGAACCAATCACTCCACCCATACCAGAAGAGACTCTCGACACACCAAGACCTGAAAGAATGTCAGGACCAGTACTGCCACCAGGATCGCCACCAGTGGGACCAGCTCTGTTTACTCAGGAAGAAGTACAATAGATGATACGAGAGGAATTGTGAAACAAGGATCAGAAACCAAAAGTCAAAATGCTACCAAGATATGATAGTGAAAGAAGTAAACTGCGAGGATTTATGGTCCAACACCTTACATACTTCAATGTGGTAGGAGAGAACCAAGGATACGATGATGACAAGATACGTTACACCTTGATGCTACTCGATGGAGCGGCCCTACAGTGGGTTACTCCTATAGTGCTTAGTCAGACACCCGTACCATGGACAACTTGGGCCAGCTCTTATGAATCCTAGTGAGTAGGACCGAGCAACAGGTAACGATACTTCTCTGGGTGTAAGGTGATAGCTCTTAGCCCTGTGCCTACGTGATCGTAATAGTCTAGTCCGGTGACTACTATATTGTTCGCGCCTATCTCCTTATTCTTCTCCTCATTTCTCGCTTGGGACTTAATCTCTTCTCATGGGAGGAAAGACAATTCTTGGGTTTCTCAAGATAAATCTTAAAGAGTGTAAAGGTAGGTTTTATTGATGATAACTTAAAGGTAGGAAATTATCTAGAAGAACATATGAAGAGCTCATACTCAGGGTTCTAGTGATCCTTTATATAGTAGCTCTTCACCTGGCGTGACTCATACCTCGCGTCATGCAAACCCTGTGACTCATAACCATGAGTCATGCGAAATCCATCAGAATACTCGTATGAGTCACTGCGCAACATGCCTAAAATCAATCAAAACATAATAACCCAGTCAGGTGCACAACTCGCGTCACCTGAGTGAAACTCATGACTCATAAGTAGAAGTCATGTGTAAAAACCATAACATCGTGTGACTCACAACTGTGAGTCACAAACAGGTAAATATAATAACCTATGGCGTACTAATGTGTATCATGTGAAATTCCAACATACCTATAACTCAGAAGCCCGAGCTATGTAAAATCTGCCTTGCTTAGTCACAGTTTGTGATATTAGCTCTCCTCTCCCTCAGCCCAAGTCCCATCGGGCTTATATCAGTCTTTCCTCCAATCCCCATGCCCTGTCTACCGGTAGGCCCTATTTGGCCTCCTTGTTCATCCAGGCGCTGACTTTCCTTATTCTCGTCAGGGCCTTTTCTGCCTCCTTCTCTTCTCTCCTCCAGTCGTTCTAGAGTGTCTTTCTCATCCTTGTTTCCTCCTTCAACTCGCCCTGGAGTTGTCCTATCTTTTCTGCCTGCCATTGTAACAATTTTTTCGGTTCCTCCGCCTCTACCAACAATTTCATTATCGTTGTCTCTGGTTTCTCCTCCTCCATCTCTTCCTCCCAGGAGACGTTCCTCATCTTCCTGGGCTTTACCCATTTCTGTTTTTTTTTTGCCCCCCTCCTCCTCGACTCCGTCCTCGGAGTTGGTTTGATGTACTGTACCAGAGCCACTGGCTCTGGTGTCGGGGATCTCGTTTGGTGATCCCAGAGGTGAGGTCTTGGGTGGCCATCGGTTCGTCTCCTGGGGCCAATATCCCAAGCCTTCTTTTTCCATATACTGTACTTGGCACTCGTCGTCGTAGCAACCTGTCCATGATAGGTTTGCGTGTTCCCTTTTGAGGGTCGTCCTCTTCCTCAAATTGAGGTCCGCTAGATTGGTCCATTCTGCGTTGTTCCATTCTTCCTTGACTGGTGTTGGAGTATGATACCCCGGGCTGGTGGGAGTGATGTGTTTGAACGCTTCGCGTTCCTGGACGTTCTGGCGGGTCGATAGCATTGTCATCGCGCCCCTCCCCTTGGGGTATTCCCAACCATAGGAGTCTGTAC